CTCCTCCTCCAGGTCTGCACGAACGAAATGGGCATTGAAAGATTGGGTACAATGCCCAACAGCACTTCCTGTCCATTTTGAACAGGACTCGCTGTCCGCGCCGCCGCGGCCCGTGTCCATTCGAGACAGAAGGCCGCCTGCCCAACAGCGGCCGCTGTTGGTTTGGGACAACATTTGTTGTTGGGCATTGTGCCAATTTTTTCGTACCCATATCGTGCGTCCAAATAGGGGGCGGGGGGGGGACCTGAAGTTCTGGGCCGCGTTCGGGTTCCCACCCAGAGATCCAGCGCGCTGAAAAGATCAGGGCGGAGGTTTTTGGAGTATTTTTCGGCCTCGAGGGGCCCTCGCCGGGCCCTGGGACCGTCAAAAACTACTCAGGATGGAAAACCCGGTCCTGGGGACTGGGTCCAGGCTTCTGGGGACCCCTCATGGAGAAACTCACGACATCGGATCTCTGGGCAGGGGCCCCTGGGGGCTCTCCGGGGCCGTCAGGAAAGCGACTCGGGGGCGCGCAGGACTGGCCCTGCAGGGTCCAGGCCCCGTGCCCCTCGGGGCCCGTGTGTGTTCCTGCCAGGAGGAGGACGACGAGGGGCTCTTCTCGGGGGACGAGGGGGCGCCCTCCATCCCAGCGTTGAGTCGGGCCTGTCTCTTCACAGGGGGAACATCCCAAAATAGTGATAGTCGGGGGACTCTTTCTGACTATTTTTGACCACTTTGGGGGTATTTTTCGAGTGTACTGTTTTTAACTTTCGTCGAGAATCCCCCTGTCGGGGGACACGCCCGACTTACTCCCAGCGACGCCCTCGGACTTGAGCCTGACGGAGGGCCCGGCGCACGGGCCGGCCGCGGCGGCGCTGCTGCCGGGTGGCCTCGGCGCCACGTGGGGCTCGGCGCTGGAGTCCATCCCCGCCACGCCGCCGGCGCTGAGCCCCTCGGGGGGCCACGGGGGCCGCCTGCTCGCCCACGACCCGGGCGCGGGCGGCGCGGGCGGCGCGGGCGCGGGCGGCTCCGGCGCGCCAGGCGGCTGTTTTTGTGATAGGGTCCGGCGGTAACTAGGGTAAAACAGGGCTAGGATCGGGATAAATCGCTCCAGAGCGTTCCGGAGCGCTCCCCGAGCGTTCCGGAACGCTCTCGAGCGGCCGCGGCGCCCAGTACATCCTCCAAACCCGCCGATTCTCAGAGATTTCGAGTTGTATCCCGATCCGATTTTGTCCCGATCCTCGCGAGGGGAGCACAAAGTGACACAAACAGAAAGACTCGTGCCTCTCCCCTCCCCTCGCTTGCCCCCTTTTTGGGGGGCCTCCTGGGCCTGCCTATCGTCGCCGCCGCCGGCTTCGCCTCGGAGAGTCCTGGTCGGGGCGCGCCCCGGGAAAGGTCCGGGGAGCAGCGGCATCGGCACCTGTTGGTGCCTCCATATTCCCTTCGAGACCGCCACCAAATTCCCAGACCCCCTCGAGGACCTGCCGGGAGGTTTTTCGTTATTTTTTGCCTTTGGGGGCCCTCACCGGCCCTCGGGACCGTAAAAAAACGACTCAGGACGAAAAACCGGTCCCAGGGAATGGGTCGAGACCTCGGGGGGTCGACGTCATGAAAAAATATGACGTCGGGGGCCTGGGTAAGGGGAACAGAAAGTGGCATAAATATAAAAACTCGGAGGTCCGCGCGGGTTTCTCGGATCGGCGCTGGACCCCCCTCCCTGGCGCGCGGAGCGCGCCAGGGGCGGCGCGGACATGTGCAGGGCTGCCCACCGCGCGAAGGTTCGCCCCCTCCTCCACCCCCCCCGGGATAACCCAGGTTATCGCCGATTCAAAATGAAAACAATCTCCAGGCCGCGGGTGCCCCGGCGGCGACGGGAGCGCCGCGCAGGAGTGCCGGGAGGCCCTGGCCGAGCTGGAGCGCGAGAGAGCCGCGCTGCACGAGCTGCACTCGTCGGAGGGGCTGCAGTCGAGGCCATCGGGCCAGCTGGCCCTGGAAGAGGAGCGCCTGGCGGCGCTGGAGCGCCGCGAGGCCGAGCTCGAGGCCGAGTCTCTGCGGCTGCGCGGTGAGCGCTCTCGGCTGATGCAGCTCAGCAACGACCTGAGGGCCCGGGTGGTGGCAGCCGTCGGTCTGGAGCCCGCAGGGGCGGCGGAGCCGCTGGGTCACGACGACAGGATGGTGGTTATTGCGGGGAGCACGGAAACTGTCGGTGGCGAGCGTGGGGGGGAAGTGGGGAGGAGAATGCCCTCGCAGGAGGCGGCGGAGCTTCTCAGAAGCCCTCGCGCCTCCTGAGAGGGTCTCTGCGTCTTCGGAGAAGGCGAAGACAACCTCTCAGAAGGCCAGGTGACTTCCGAGCCACCCCTTCTGACTTCCCCCCGGGCGCGCCGCCGAAAGCTCGATCAAAGATCGATCGGATGTCTTCGCCTCCGGGGACGCCTGCCCCAGGGCGGCTGGAAAGTCTGCACCCTCGCGCGCCACGGCAGGGCCACAGACCCTCCAGTCGCGACAACCCCCGGCTTTCGGGTCGGGGTCGCCGTGGGGTCTTTTGTGGGCTTGTCGTCCACCACCACCACCATCAGTTGGAGGGGGAAAGGAGGTGGAGGACGAGGAGGAGGAGGAGGACGAAGAGGAGGAGGACGAGGAGTAGGAGGAGGAGGAGGAGGAGGAGGAGGAGGAGGAGGAGGAGGAGGGAAAGAGGAGGAGAAAAGGAGAGGAGGAAGGGGGAGTAGGAGAGGGAGGAGGAGGAGGAGGAGGAGGAGGAGGGAGGAGGGAGGGAGGGACGAGGAGGAGGAGGGGAGGAGGAGGAGGAGGAGGAAGGAAGGAGGAGGCGGAGGGGAGGCGGAGGAGGAGGAGGGGGAGGGGGAGGGGGAGGGGTGAGGGGGAGGGGGAGGGGGAGGGGGCAGGGGGAGGGGGCGGGGGAGGGGGAGGGGTGAGGGGAGGAGGAGGAGGTGGAGGAGGCGGAGGAGGAGAGGTGGAGGAGGAGGAGGAGGAGGAGGAGGAGGAGGAGGAGGAGTCCCCGCCCACATCCATGAGCCCCGCCGTCCTCCCCACCTCGGCTGGGGACCTGCCCCTCGAGGCCCGAGGAGGGCGGCCCAGGTCCCCCAATCATCGGGGGGTCAGGTCTGCCAGCGGGGCCCGGCCCACGCTGGCGGGGATTGGGGATCGGCGAGATCGGGGGCGGCAAAGAGGGGGGAGATGACTAGGGGGGGGGATACCATGGCGGGGGCCATGATATCCCCCCAGATTTCATGGCGCCTCTTCTTATTTCAGTACGTCCCAGGCCCCCCCGCTGGGCCGCGCACATGCCGCCGGTCATGATTTGCACCCCCCCCTCTTGGACACCCCCCCAAGAGGCCCCCCTCTTGGCTGCTCCCGAGACGGTGCTCACGTTCTCCGTCCGCTGAGGTGGTTCAGGAGCTGCAGAGGGCGCTGGCGCGCCTGCAGGAGCAGAACCGCGCGCTGCGCGCCGAGCGCGCGCGGGTGGGCGATGCAGCGCCTCGGCACGGGCCGCTGCTTGCGTGAGCTGGCGACGGGGATCCAGACGACCGAGAAGCATGAGCCGTCCTCTCCGTGGAAGCGGCGGAAAGCGCCTGGGCCGAGGAGGAGCAGAGTGCGGACGAGCGGCCTCGGGTACGTGCGCCATGTCGGGCAGATATGTCCGAGCAGGATCTGACCAGCCAGGCGGCGGTGTCGTTCGCGGTGTTGTCCCAGGCGACTCGGGCCTCCCCGAGCGCGCTGATCCACTCGCACTGCGGCGTGGGGACGTGAGGCGGCGGCGTCCAGACTGAAGATCACGCTGTAGACGGCACAATCGCTGCTGAGCCGGTGCCTTGCTGGACGAGACCCTGCTGGGCATACTCTCCAGACTTGTGAGCAGCGTGGATCGCGCCCAGGCTCGACAGCCGTGTGCGCGAGGTGGGACGAGCTCGTCGGACACGCCGAGCGGGCGAGCGAGCCGAGAAGCGGCAGCTGAATCTCGAAGAAAAGGTAAAGGTAGGCTTTCGGATGTTCGCAGGTGGGTTTGGGATGGGCGTTGCTGGACCACCCTCGCCTCTACTCGCCCCTGCGTGGCAAGGAGGGGGAGTGATGAGTGGGTGAGGAGCAAGGATGAGGAGGGATGAAGCAGGGGCCCTGATGCTTTGTGAGGAGGGAGGAGTAATTAGGGGAGGATAGGGGGAGGAGGCTGCTTCCACGTCATGGTGGCTGCCTATGACGTGCTCTCGGTCTCGGCCTTTCGCTCATGTGCAGCCTGTGAGCGTGGGGCTCCTCCTCCTCCTCCGCTCTCTCCTCCCTCCTCCTCCTCTCCTCCCCATCCTCCTCCTCCTCCTCCCCCCCTCCTCTCCTCTCCTCTCCCCCCCCTCCTCCTTCCTCCTCCTCCTTCCTCCTCTCCTCTCCTCCTCCTCCTCTCCTCCTCCTCCTCCTCCTCCTTCTCCTCCTCCTCCTCCTCCTCCTCCTCCTCCTCCTCCTCCCCTGGTGTCCGAGAGGTAAGATTATGTTCGGCGGAGCCCGGTGAGCACCCCAGTCCGACGACGCGGTTGGGCCAGGGCGAAGGGCGCATGCACGCTCGTCTTCGTCTGCGAGTTCGCATCTGATTTGACCAGTGCCACGGCCAGGGGTCGGAACCCCTTTCCCGCTCCTGAGGCAACTTTAAAAATCATAAGAAACGGCCGCCGCGTTTTTGGCCTATGCGCTGGACTTGACATTGCTCGGACGTGTGCATGTTTTCCTTGGCGAGGACCATCGAGGAGCATCCTTGATCATCATCGGGCCGGACAACAGCACGCACGGAACCGCAAAAATGCACGGGGAATGGACGTCCGAGCGATGGCAAGTGGATGTCTGGCGAAGAGGGGCGACATGATGGCAGCGTGCCGACCCGGGCTGCTCGAGGCAGCTCGTCTGACAGGAGCTCGCCCGCGCCGGACTCCCATCGAGGACGGCGCGCCACTCGGCCGCCTTCCAGCGTTGGCCGGTTCCTCCCGCCCCTCGCCCCCCTCCTCCTCCCGCCTCCTCCCCCATCCTCCTCCTCCTCCTCCTCCTCCTCCTCCTCCTCCTGATGTTTCCCTCGACGCCGTCATCCTCTCCATTCTCCTCGACCTCACGTCTTCTCTTCATGTGTTCCACGAGGCGTTATTTCGGCCTTCGGGCATGCCCTCGTTCGCCTCGTGCGGCTCTTTGAGATTTCGTTCCGTAGGTCGAGTCCAAATAGTAGTAACAGTGTCTGGGCCCTTCGAAGGCCCAAGACGGAACAGGGTCATTTCGATGATGAGTTGGGACCTTGCTTGTTCCTATAGCCTTTCAGGAACATAGTAGTTTCTTTTGCGTCGTCACGCTTGGATGTTCCGCCGCCTTTTGACCTAGGCGCCCTCAGCTACAGGTTTCAGGTGCGATGAGAAAAAAACGGAATGCACCCACTCTCCGATCGGTAGATTTAAAGCGGGCCTGTCCCTCTACAGGAGGAAAACATTGTAAAACAAATGATCAGGGGGCGATTCTTCCAATAGTGTTGAGCATGTTTGAGGTCTGTGTTATTTTTCGTTCACCTCCGCCTGTAGGGGGACACGCCCGCCCCAATTGTGTAGATCGTCCGCTCGTGTTGGCGCGTCAGCTGGCAGCGGATTACCAGCCTGGAACATATCCCTATCCCTATGCTGGGCATCTCCTCATCACGATGCCAATCTTAGGGATTCCCTTATTTTTTGTGAGGGCGAATCCCTAAGATTGTCATCGCCTTTTGGCGTGTCAATCTTAGGGATAGGGATACGTTCGAGGCTGGTAAGCGGAGCCTCTGGTGATCCACCACCGGCCCCCGCTCTGCAGCCACGGCGGCGGCCAGAGCGGAGTGCGAGGACCCTCCCACGGAGAGCAGGGGAGCTCCGCGCGAGCTGTGGACGACGATCAGGAGTTGGAGGAGGAGGAGGAGGAGGAGGAAGCATGCTGCCGCATTGTTCCGAGATGTCTAGACCATGTCTCAAACGTGTCTTGAGCATGTGAAGCATATGTCTTGAACATGCTCAGAGATATTTTTTTCAAGCAGTTTGAGCACATCATGTATTCAATGATAGGTGTGGCAGGGTTTCCATTGTCATGGCGTCCACATCGCTCGAGTCTGGGCCGGAGCCGGCCATGAGCGTGGGGCCAGAGTCCGGCTTCATGGAAGCGCAACGCTCAGAATTTTTGGACATGATGCAGAGAGTGTTACACGGCGTGGATTTGCTTGGAGCGGCCAGGAGCAGTTCGACGTCCGAGGGTGCCGGTTGTCAAGCTCCTGATCGCGATGACGTGCAGCCTCCAAAAGGCCAAGCAGCGCCAGGAAGATGGGCCGGTTCAACACCCATAGCTGGAGTCCCGCGTTGGAATGGCACTTTTCGTGGGGCTTCGTGGGCTTCGTGGGCTCCATGGGGGCTGGGAGCGCGACCGGGCCTCCGACTGGCACGAGCCAGACCCGCGGCACGCCACATGTTACCAGCCTCGAACGTATCCCTATCAGCAAGATTGACACGCCAAAAGGCGATGACAACCTTAGGGATTCGCCCTCAAAAAATAAGGGAATCCCTAAGATTGGCATCGTGATGAGGAGGTGCCCAGCATAGGGATAGGGATATGTTCCAGGCTGGTAAACATGAAACCCACCAGAAGAGAGGGGCTCAGAGAGCGCCGGCCAGGCCTGGCGCACCTCGTCGTGGTGCTCGAGCTCCTGGTGGAAGGGCGTCAACAAAGATCCGTCGGACCCGCCTGAGCGGATGGGGTGGACGGGCTTCAGGATCTGGAGGCGTCAGGTCCGCAGGCGGCTCGACCGCGCAGACATCAGGGCGACGAAGAGGTCGGACAGGCTTCTTCTCCCCTTGGACCCGGAGGTGCGGAGGCAGTTCCAGGACATCCCGAACACAGCGCTGACGAGCGAGGCGGGCCCTTCGCTGATTCCGTCGCGCCTGGACACCCCGAGCGCACAGAGGCACGACGACGACCGCCGGACGGCGGGTCGCGAGGCCCTTTTTAGGCAACGAGCGGGGTAACACTGGGACGCTCTCGCAGCATTCTGTGAGGCTGCAGCATAGAGATCGGGCCAGACGCGAAGTCATTTCCCGCTTACGCGACAGACGACGACAACTGCGAGGCGTCGAGCATCGACGCGACCGAGGAGCAGGAGATATTGGCCACCTTGGATCAGGCACAGGTGGATGAGCTCGAGGTCGGAGACGCGCTGGCGGTCCTGCAGCAGGGTCGAAAGAAGACCTGGAAAAGAGAACAAGGTGCTGAAGAGAACGCTTCGCACCGATCGCAAGCGCTACAGGCCGCCGCCACCTGCGCACCAAGCTCGCGACCGACTCGCGCCACGCGATCGGAAGCAGTGCTTGCCCAAAGAAGGTTTGAGGAAGGTCGCGCTGTGCGACCGATGCCACAGGGAGGGGCACTGGTCGAGGGGGTGCCCGCTCAGCGGTGGCCCCGGGCGAGCCTCCTGAGCGCAGGCCCCCAGGAGGAGGCGGCAGCTCTGGAACCTCGGTGATGATGGGCACTAGCTCTGGCGACGTCGGCATCGCGCTGACAGACTTCGCCTCGGGGCCCGTTTTCGGGGCCTTCGCCCTGCTCAGCGACGCATCCGCAGGCGCGCTCTCGTTCCTCCTGCTCATCCTGCTCCTCCTCCTCCTCCAAACTCCCAACTCCTCCCCCTCCTGCCCCCCCTCCTTTCCCTCCTCCTTCTAATCCTCCTTCCTCCTCCTCCTCCTCCTCCTCCTCCTCCTCCTCCTCCTCCTCCTCCTCCTCCTGGACATTCTTGGGACCTCGCGAACAGCGCCATCGCCGAGGTCCGGCGAGGGTCGGGCGGCCACGCGGTCCTCCTCTCGGTCGACGGCGGCGGCATGGCAGTGGGCGCCGCGGCCCGCCGGGCCATCGTCGGGGAGCCCGCGTTGGCCCTCCTTGACAGCGCGATGGAAAGGAAGGGCTTTCTCATCCCACGGCCCCCAGTAAGAAGCGCCAGTCGCGTTGGAGGCAGGGTCGCAGTGATCGCAGGCATCTTGGTTCCAGTAGGTATTGAAGGTGAAGTAAGGGTCATGGAAATGGATGTTGCGCGTCAAGATGTGCCATCGCTCCTGTCGATCGGCACGCAGTCGCAGCTGGGCGCGACGATTTCACTTCCGAGGGGGGAGATGAGTTTCGAGACTCTCCAGGCGAGCGCTCCTCTCGCAGCCCTGCCGTCCGGTCACGGGACCAGTCGCGCGGACGCGCCAGGAGATCCCGCCGAGTTCTGTTGCCCCGGATCCGTGCCGGAGGCCCGCGGAGCCACGAGCGCTTCGCTCCGCTCGCCTCGCAAGGGGGGCGCGAGGGGCCGGCGCTGCGTGGAGGGCCCCCCCCCCCCCGCCCCGGGAGTCCTACAGGGGCCTCTGTCTCGGGCTTGGCATCGCTCGGACGTGTGCATGTTTCCTTCGGCGAGGACCATTGAGGAGCATCCTTGATCATTTGGCGAAAAAGCCACGCACGAAACCGAAAAAAACACAGGGAATGGACGTCCGAGCGATGGCCAGCGGGGGTCCTCGCTGCCAGTCTGGAGCAGGGCCGGGCGGGGCACGCGGCGCGGGCGGGGGGCGCAGCGCATTGGCCCAGCGGCGGAGGGCCCCCGGGGCCCAGGAAGAGCCCCAGCAGCCAGCAGGGCGACGCGCGGCCCCCCTCGCGGGCCCCGCGGCCGCCGCGCCCTCCAGGGAGAACCCCTCGGCAACTGCCGGCCCCGACGGGGCCCCGCCGACTGCCTCCAGTTGGGCCCCTGTCTCGGCCCCCACGGGGCATCTCTCGCTCGATTTGGCACTAGAGCTGCCCGAGTCTCGGCACCCGCCCAGGCGCGCGCGAGACGCTGTGCGCAGGGCGCTGTCGCATGTCCGCGGCAGCAGCAGCTGCCGTCGCTCCGGTCGGCAGAATCTCGGGGGCGGATCTGCGCCCCCACGCCCGGGGCGGTCACCGAGCCCTTCGGCGCGAGGCGCTGCCAGTCATGAGGGCGGAGGTGCCGAAGCATTCGAAGGAAAGCCGGCAGCGCGGAGATGCAGCCCTCTGATCCGATGGCGCCGATGCACGCGGACGCCCTGCCGAGGAGGCCCAGGTGTCAGGGCCAGACTACGTCTGGGGACAAGATCGAGCAGGCCACGAGAGAATTGGGGCACGCAGGCAGCCAGGACGTCCTCCTCCTGCTCCGCCTCCTCCTCCTCTTCCTCCTCCTCCTCCTCCTCCTCCTCCTCCCTGTTCCCATTTCCTTCTGAAGACTTCTCCTAGTCGCGCCCCCAGACGCGTTGGCAGGGCGGGCCGGGCGTTTCGCCGGAGATTTCCTTGCCATTCATTTCTGTGAAATTCGAAATCTGCAACAGCTCTAAGACTAGAGGGCGGGCCGTCTTCAAAATGTGGCTCTCGCCCTGGCGCGGGCACGCAGTCGTCCAAGGATGGAGGGCGGTTCCCCTCTCCTCCTCCCCTCCTGCTCCGCCGTCCTCCTGCCCCCGTCTGGTCGATAGCTCCCCCCCCCCCGCGCCGGCTCCTCGGGCGATGCCCGCCGCGCCCTCGGCAAGCGGCGGCGGCCGCCGGCGCCGCCGCTGGGCGGGCGCCGCGCTGGCGAGCTTTCTGGCCACAGAGGCTCGGGGCGCGCGCCCGTCTTCGGCGTCGTCGCCGTCGCCGTCGCTGTCGGTGTCGCCGTCGTCGTCTTCGCCGCCGTCGCCGTCGCCGTCGCCCTGTTCGTCGGTTTCCGGGTGTTTCCTCGCCTCGGGGTGCTTTCCAGCAGCCGTGCCATTGAGCACAAGTCGCTGTCGCATGGCTGGGCCCTCAAGATTCAAGGCGGGCGGTTCTCTCATCTGTTTGTCGGATGTCGGGGGGGTCCTCGTCTCGAGGGGGCCTTCCAGCAGCTGCGCTTTGCCGAGAGCGATCTGGGGGTGCACGAGTCGTCCCGAGCGGCCGCCAGGGGCCTGGGATACTGCCCGAGGGTTGGACATAACTTCAAGAAGCCATCAAGGACCCCCCGGGGTTATCGTTCGCACAGCACCGTAATCAAATAATTATGGAGGGCGGTTTTCGCCGAACGACTTGATGAGCACCGCGCAAATGGAACGAAAGTGAATGATTCCCACGCCCCGGCTCGGGTGGTATCCCAGTTGGAATTTTTAAATAGTAGTAAACATGAACGTGCAATACGAGTAATAAGAGTAATATTCAGAATCATGATAATAATAAGGATGCGAGTGCCAATTCTCGCCCAGACCGACCACCTGACGCAGACTCGTCTGCGTCCAGAGCAGTTTCTGATGGTGTCTCAGGCGAGGCGCTTGTTTCAGAACCACAAGGAGTCCATATTGCAAGAATGTCTCAGGCGGTTTGCTTGTTTCGGCGAGCAGACTTGTCTGCGTTCACATAAAGGTGCAAGGTGCCAGGGTAACGTTTCTGGGGGGCCGGGTGCGTTATATTTTCGCCGGAGAGGGGGGGGGTTCTTAATTGCGTCTTGCGGTTTCATCCAACGTCTAAACAGGAGTCGAGGTGTGTGCTTCCCCACATATCCTATGCACTCACATGCAGACTCACTCCTATCCACTCATGTTCAGACTCGCTCGTACTCAGACTCGCTCATACTCACCCTCGGACTCAGACCCACAGTCAGACTCACCCACACTCAGACCCAGAGCTTCTCCCACCCAGATCCCTCTCGGCGTGCGCAGAGCGAGGGCGCCTCCGGCGAGGCGCTGCTTCCAGCCACCCTAGAAGGGGGAGCCGCCGCGGAGTGCTGCCGGGGCCCGTCCGCGTTCCGATTGGGGACGTCTCGGGCTGCTTGTCTCCTGGCATGCCCAGCACCCTCTGCTCTCGGGGCGAGTCTTGAGGCTGTCTCTCCGGCGAGGCGCTGGCCTCGGCACCCCCATCGCGGGCCCTGTCGCGCGCTCGGATGGTGGGAACGTCTCGGGCGGCTTGCCTGCCTCGGCCCCCCAAGTTTGTCCCTGGACTTGCGTCGTCTGGACGCCTCTGGGTCTCGCTCGCTCACTCACCTCCCCTTCTTCAGCCTCGCTTCGACGCATCGTCAGTCAGGCTTGCTCCTCAGCACCCCTGCCCCACTCTCAGTCATCACGCTCAGACTAAGTCGCATTCAGAGTCGCTCATACCAAGATTCGCTCATACTTGGACTCACATTCAGACTCGCTCAAAACAGGCTCACTCACACTTGAATGAATTCGCACTCGGACATACTTAGACTCAGATTCACCCCCCCTCAGATTCACTCGTAGTCAGGCTCACTCGTACTCAGACCTATCCAGACTCATATTCATATAATTCATTATCAGACCCACTCACACTCAGACTTATCCATACTCAGACTCACTGTCACTCAGGCTCCCTCCTATTCAGTCTTTCGCATTCTCCGACCAGTTAGTATTCAGAATATCTCATACCCAGGGTCACTCACACTTGCACTCCACCATACCTGGTTCACTCACACTCAGACTCACTCACACTCAGATCACTCACGCGCAGATTTACTCAGTCTTCCCTCTTCTGGTGGTCCACTGCTCCCTCGCTCTTCAAATTGTGTTTCCCTCATATCGCCTTAGAGATGCCCAAAGGAAGAAGAGGACGTCACTGAAGTCGTCGCTGTCGCCGTCGTCGTTGTCGCGCCCGTCGTCCACGCTGACTCGCTCTCACACCCAGATGATCACAAACAGTGTTCCTCAACGAGACGTGAGGCGTCATGTCTTGGCACTTCGTATTGCACAATCTAGGGTAACGGATGCTTGGGGAGGGCGGCCCAAATCGCTGGGAGGGGAGAAGAGGGAAAGAGGGAGACAGGGAGGAGATAGAGAGGGGGGAGGGAGGTAGAAGGGAGGGGCCCGGGGGGGAGGGATCAAGCAATGTGCGCTCGCTTCACATCTGAATCCCAATGCGCTGATTCCCTAAATAGATTGCTGCTGCGACCCGTAGTTCTAAAAGTCTCTTGTCGTGGATTCGGGGCAAGTGCTGCCACCAAGCCAGACGTGTAAGGATCAGGCTGCGACTACACAGGCAACCCATCGCACTAGACTTGCTCCCTGCATCGGCGGATGCCTGGGCCAAAACGCCGCAGCGCAAGTGCACGCGCAAAGGTGAGCCGTTCAACACCAGAAACAGCCCTGACGAGGGGTCCAGCGCCATGCAGCGGAGTGCGGCGCTGCGGAGACCTCTCCCCGCACCCCGCGCGCCGCGGGAGGGAGCCGGGCCCCACGG